TAGATAGTGGTCAACGCTGTTGGAATACTCTGTATATGTTAGACAATTCAAGATTTAAATATTTGACTCTTACTCTACACGTTTTGCGTACCTTATTGTCGATATTTTCCAAAGCTTTCTAGAAACATTTACCGAGACTGTACCGAAACTGTGAGTATGTTAGGAAACATCGACAACTTTCCTAAGTAATCTGTCTAAGGCTAAACGACGGACGATGTTGTCAACTTCTCTGGCTAACTTAATTATTAAAGTCTGGATAGTCTTTTAATATCCAACTCACTTACGCCAGCTTCGAAGGCCTACAGATTTTCTGGAAAAATATGATAGAACTTTTAATCGAATAACTATGTAATGGCACAAATGACCTTTTTCCGAATAAATTATTTTATAAATATAAAGCACTCAGATACGCTATAATTTAATTCTAAGTATAAATTAGGCCAGGAATTTATGGTCGATTATAAACTGATGTACTTCATAACATATTGTCAAGTAGTTAATGAAAGTATTTGTAGGATACGAATAAAGATTCGCTTTAAATTTAGGTATTTTTTAGTTAAAATTACTACATCAACGTGAATTTTTCCAGATCTAGAAAAGGATATTGTAGTTACATAGCTGTCAAAATTAATTGACAGTGTTTAGACACACAAAATTCTGTTCAGGCAGAAATATATCAAACAATTCAAGTGTATTATCTAAAAATTAAGCATTAATATTAAAGACATAAAACATTGAAAGACATAAAACATGTCGGGGAAAATTAAAAACACTGACTTGGAGGCAGCAGACCAAAGTATATATATATATATATATATATATATATATATATATATATATATATATATATATATATATATATATTATATATATATATATAGTTCAGCTCAACAGGCCTCAAAGGCTTAAGGCTTCAACGGTTTTCTTCCATTTCTTTCTATCTTGTGCTAAGTTTTTCCAATCTTGTACCCGCAGCGACTTCAACTCTCCTTTTGCCGACTCCAGCCATTTTTATCGTGGGCGGCCTCTTTTTCTTTTTGTACCAGCCTCCGTGTTTATTAATTCATTGGGAACTCTTCCTTTCTTCATTCTTGCTATATGTTCGAGCCATCTTAACCTTTGAATTTTAGTGAGTCTTGTTATTTTTGGTTGCCCATATATTTGAATTATTTCTTCATTCGTTCTTCTTCGCCAGATGTTCCCTTCTTTTACACCTCCGTATATCCTTCCAAGAATTTTTCGTTCCCATCTATCTAATTTTACTTCCATACCTTTATTTAGTGTCCAGGTCTCGCTAGCATAGAGTACTGTAGGTCGGATAACTGTTGTATATATTCGTTTTTTTGCTGTTCTGAATATTATCTTCGACCTCAGTATCTTAGTCAGGCTCCCAGCACTCTTACTACCTTTGGCCATTCTTTTTATGATTTCTTGGTTCTCTTCGTTCCTATTTGTTAGTGTCACTCCCAAGTAATCAAATTGGCTAACAACTTCAATGTTATATTCTTTACTTGGGCTTTGTATCTTAATTGACTGTCCTAAATTATTTTTGTTTCTCCTCATCACCATATATTTTGATTTTTTTCGTTTATTTCTAAACCATATTCCCTGGCTATTCTCTTTATTCTAGTAAAAATTTCTCTTAATTCTGCAGGTCTCCTTGTTATTAAGTTAACATCATCAGCATATGCTACGCATTGATGCCTGTGATGATATATTGTGCCTCTAGTGTAGGTGTTACATTCTAGTAAAATCTTTTCTAAGATCAAATTGAAAAAATCTGTTGATAACGGGTCACCTTGTCGCAGACCTCTATTTATGATAAAGCTATCCGAAACCCGTCCTTCTAACATGACTTCACTTTTAGTATCATTGAGTATGCATTTAGTCAGTCTTACTATTTTTGGTGGAAATTCAAAATATTCTAGCGCCTCATATACTTTATTTCTTTTTATAGTATCATATGCCTGTCTAAAATCAATAAACAGCTTGTGTAATGTTAGGTTGAATTTATATGAGCTAACTAAAATTTGTTTCATTGTAAAAATTTGGTCTATTACCGATCTGTTTGCTCTGAAACCTGCTTGATATTCACCTGGACAATTTTCAACTTTTATTATTATTTCTAATTGATATTGCCAGAATCTTATACACTGTATCTTGTAGAGCTATTCCCCTGTATTTTTTACATTCTGTAACGTCTCGTTTTTTATGCACCGGACATAAGATTGCTTCTTTCCACTGATTGGGTATTTTTTCTTTGATCCACACTTCGCGTATTAACTCAGCGATTTCTTCTTGCACCATATCTCCACCTTCTTTTAGAAACTCAGCAATGATACCATTTTCACCAGGTGCTTTGTTGTTTTTTAAGTTTTTATAATCTCTATAATTTCTTCCTTGGTAGGTACTTCTTCATGTTGTAGTTGCGTTTGTTCTCTTTCATCTTGGTCGTCCGTACATAATATGTTTTTGAAATAATTAGCCCACCTTATTAATTTTTCATCTGTTCCACCTAACAGATTCCGCTCTTTATCTTTATAATATCTTGATATGGTTTTGTACTGGGTTCGGTCTCGTTTTATTTCTTGGTAGAAATTCCTGACTTGTTTATGTAAAAAATCTTCTTCAATACGAACTAGTTTCTGCTCTTAACTTGACCGCTTCTTCCTTCTACAGATCTTCTTTGCTTCCCGTCTTTTTGCGGTATAAGCTTTTTTACTCTCTTCATTATTTCTTATTATACTACTTATTCTAGCTTTATTTCGGTCACTAATGAATTTCTTACAATCTTGATCATACCAATTCGTTTGTTCTCTTAGATTTAAATTCACCTTTAGGGTCTCTGTAGCTAAAAGAAAGAGGATAGGATAGTATGTAGCTCTATTAATGCAATTAAGCGCAATAACACTATGTAGACCCCTTCTTCTTCTTCAGTGCCTTATCCGGTCCGGATGTTGGCGATCATCAAGGCTATCATGGTTTTGTTGACTGCTCTGCGAAACAGCTTTGCTGAGGTCATCCCAAACCATTGTCGAAGATTTTTCAACCACGAGATACGACGTCGTCCCAATCCTCTTCTACCAAATACTTTACCCTGCATAACGAGTTGAAGATTTCGATATTTTTCTTCGTTCCGCACCACGTGGCCGAGGTACTCAAGCTAACGTTGTTTAATTAAATTAAGCACTTCTTTTTCTTCTGTCATGCGCTGTAGGACCTCAACGTTGGTGACATGGTCCACATAAGATATTTTTAGTATCCTTCTGTATATCCATATCTCGAAGGCTTCGATTCGTTTTTCAGTGGCTTGCGTTAGTGTCCAGGCTTCGCCTCCATATAGTAACACTGGAAGAACGTAGCACCTCACTATTCGCATCTCGGTTTCCAAACTGAGATCACTACAGCACAGCAAGGATCTCAACTTAATAAATGTAGACCGTGCCATTTCAATTCTGGATCTAATCTCTTGAGCGTAGTCTCATTGTACGTTGAGGGTAGTTCCGAGGTAAGTGAATCTGTCGACTCTCTGGATCTCTTCGCTACCTGCCATTAGTGCCCCGAGATCTAAATTTGTACGGTCAAACCATGAATTTAGTTTTCTTAATATTGAGGCTCAGTCCATATGTTACGCTCACAGTTCGCACTCGGTCTAGTAAGGCCTGCAGATCGTTTAGGCTGGTTGCTAGTAACACAGTGTCATCGGCGTAGCGGATATTATTGATGTATTCACCGTTTACTCGGATTTTCATGTCTAGGTTTGTCAGGGCTTCATTAAAAATCTCCTCAGAATATATATTGAAGAGAGTCGGCGATAGCACACATCCTTGCCTTACTCCTCGCATGATCTTCACTTGGTCGGTCAGCTGGTCTTCGACCTTAACTTGAGCACGCTGGTTCCAGTATAAATTCATGATGATCCGAATGTCCTTATCATCCAATCCTACTCTTTGTAGTGCGGTGACCATCTTCTGGTGCTGATAACGGTCAAATGCCTTGGCGTAGTCAATAAAACAAATATAGACATCACAACTGACATCGCGGCATCTCTAAAGTAGGACTTATAAGGTGAAAAGTGCTTCACGTGTATCCATGGAATTGCGGAATCCGAATTGCATTTCACCGATATTGTCTCCGCATTTCTTGTAAATTCTGGCATGTATGTAAATCAAAGTAATTAATATTTTACTTTTCAGGACATCCTACCAAAAAAAATATAAAATACATAAAAAAAGGGCCCCGGCCATCAAAAAATCAAAAACCAAAAAAACCTGGGCACGTAGGACCCAACAACTTGAGCACCAAGTCTCCGAACTGGGCGCAGTCCAGAGCAGAGGCTTGAGGCACAAGCAGGCCATTTTAGTTTCGCTGATAAGTTACAAGAGGATAACAGAAATTAAGCGCATAACGCTGATCTGAATTTGAATCGGTTAGAAAACCAGGTTGGGGTTCTATTACCCAGAACTCCAACATGAAGAACAATTGGCTGATAGTTGTGTCTCTATCGCGGATCAGACTGCTATAAGGGGGAAAGGGATGGTCTGGAGCATTGGAGCGAGGTGAAGTGGTTCCTGATCTACACGAGTTAATATACCTCGCTCCCATGAATTGTGACATTCGAACGTAATTCTAAGGGCTGAACATGTCTCACAGGCTGGGTTTAATTAACTTGCTTGCTTGCTTGCAATTGCTCTGCTGTGCCATAGGATGGGTACTTATATATTGTGTTTTTAATCTTTTCAATAAATTTTGATGTTGAACTTTAATAAATGCCTTTAATAACTTAAGAAGTATACTAAAAAGGTTTTGTTTTTTATCACGGCAAATGTAACTAGATGATATATCAAAACTAACTGCCTTATTCATACTTTTATTTTTAAAACCAAATAGATTTCTTCTCGATAGCTATAATAGGTACTTTAATTTTCCATGATTTTTTATATAAACTGTGGTTTTGCAATATTACTGGTAATTTATTGGGAATAAATAAAATATAACCATTAGTAAAAGTACATATATTTTCATTAAAAAGTAAACTATTCGCAGAACATCTTTAAAAAAATTCAACTTAGTCCAAATCTCCACAAGCAGAAACAGCAATAAGCTCGACAGGGCATTTTACCTCTTGAAAGCTCACTTTAGGTTTATCGACCCCTTCCAAGAACTGGAACCTAAATCTGCATCCAGGTTGCAAGACTTCTGGTAGTAGAGTACACTCTTCAATGGTTGAAACACCTCCATATCTTCTACCCCAACCGTCTTCACCAGTTCCCCATTGAGTCATGCATCCACGATTGAATATACCGACACCACCTCCGGGAATTTGAAGATCGAATTGGTTTTCAGTTAAGTCAGATCCTATGGTACAAAATAAGATTATTGTCTAAATATTATTTTTCACAAGAATTATTATTTACAATAAAAATTTTAAAAGGCAGCACCAAATTTTTTTTTAGAAATTAGAGTGGTATTTAGAGGATGACTTTCACTTTTTTTGTCGCCAATAAAAACACAGACTAGTCTTATTTTTGTCTTAACTCCCTTAGGATTGGTGGCTCGAAACTTTTATAAAAAAAAACAAAAATTAAAATTTTTCGAGCACTGCAAAAAAGATTCTATGAGTTTTTCCAAAAAATGCATTCGTTTTTTCATATTTCATATTTGGCTTTCGACAAGGAGGAACCAACTTTCAATAAGCTATTTCTCAGTTTGTATTGGGCTACAGATAACATAAACTCACCATTATTTTGGTTTTTCTATAGACTACGTTCTCTATAAGAATATTTTTTTTTGAAAATACATACTTTTTGAGTAATTTGGAAAAACCTTTTTTTTTGTTAAAAATTTACCATTTTGCTGGCGTATAAGCCAAAAAGTATTGACTTTCAGAAAAAAAACGTATGTAAAAGTGGTAAGTTGGTTAATATTTTTTATATATTCATTCTTGGTGTCATTTTTATTAAAAATATTTACCCCCGAGAAGGGTTGGCATTCCCCACATATATTCTACCATGCTCAGGCTCACATGGGGCCCATCCGCATCCTCATCCGACGGTAGCTCTTGTCTCAGGACACCGTCAGGCAGATGTGTAACTTGGATAAAAACATATATCTCATAGCCCAAATGGCATTAACAGGTGCCTGAAAAAGCTTCCAAAGAATATAATCCTGCTGCCTACTAATATAATCAATGCATGTCTAATGCTAAGCTACTTTGCAACCTCATGGAAGGTGGCCAGCACAGTCATGATTAACACACCAGGGAAACCCCTAACCAAGCCTAAATCGTGTAGACCTATTTCGCTAATAAACACCCTAGGTAAAGTCTACGTGAGGATCCTCAAGTAGAGAATCATAGAATTTCTAGACGCTCACTTGGCCATTCCAAACTTTCAATTCGGATTCCAAGCCGAACATTCCACTCAAAATGCATTGATTTAAGCAGCAATTTTCGTATCGCAATCAATTAATGAAAACAGATACATCGTAGGCATCTTCCTGGACGCCCAGAAAGTTTTTGATCAGGTTTAATTAAAAAACTACACCTTGCTGGACTGACTAGAAGTTTCGTTATCTTAATACATTCTTATCTGTCAAATCGAACAATTCGAATCAAAGTTGCTACCACGCTATCCACACTATTTACTTCATAAGCTGGAGTCCCTCAGGGCTCAATTTTAGCTCCAATATTGTACACAGTCTACAACAGTGACACTCACCACCCTTACTGTAGATCGTAGTCTCTTTTGCTATTTACTGACGATACTGCGCTCCATACTGCAGGCTCATGCAGTGCCAAAGCTTAACTAATCTTATTCAAATCTTCCCACAACCGTAATTCTCAGGGCCCGATAACCCTCCTCGGAGGAAACCTGGATTTCAGAAACTCGGTATCCTACTTGGGAGTTTATTTTAGTAGGACTCTCAACTGAAAGATCGACACACGAAACACCCTACACAGGGTAAGAAAAAGAGCAAAGCTTTTGAAGCGTTGTCTCAGTGCTCGCCAAATTAACACCATTATGTCCACCTAAAAAAAAATCCTCAGATTTTGCATGAGGAATCGCAAAGACTATCCGTCAGCACTAATCCACCAAATAGCACGCATAATACCGATTAAGGACAGAATCCGAATCCTCAGCAAGAGATACGTCCTCCGCAATATAGCTGGGCTTAAACAACCGAGCTAAGCAGACACTCAAAACTTCTTGCCACCGCCGAGGGAAAATACTCGCCAGGACTTCCCACAGAAAAGTTTCATTTCTTCCAGCAAAACCTCTACACAAAACTGGAAACGAACAAACGACTAAGAGTCGTTCCCAGTATGGCTGGTAACACTTAAACTACCTCTTCTTGGCTTGTCTGGCTGACCAAAAACCTCTAGTGCGCTCCTATACACAAACTTTACTTTATAAACCTTAGCTCTATGCACAAAATCAATTATGACGTTTATCACACCCCCTTTTGTTTAATTTTGGTTTCATCCAAATATTTCAAAATAAAAAATTAGCCAAATTGCCGAAGGTATACCGCAAGGTTACTACACCCGTTTCAATTTTTCAAGTCACAATAAATAGCATTTCGAGCTCGTGCAAAATATCATACCGTGCGATAAGAAGTATTCACATCCTGTTATTGCAAGGCTTCCAATGGTCGAATTGGAAAGAATATTATATGTATATAGATATATTTTTGATCCACTGGTTACGTTTTCTATCTCTAAGTGATACACCCAACATTTGTCTCTCCATCGCTCTTTGTGCCTTCCTTATCCTATCCAAATTGGCCTGTGTAAATGGCCTGTGTGTTATATACCTTGCTTCGTAAGTATAGAAGGATTGTTTGATTTTTTAAAACTTAAGAAAGTTTGACGAACGCTGCCCATCCCATTCTTACTCGTCTCGATATTTCGGCTGTTTGATTTTCTCTGTTAGCTCTGATTGCTTGTCCTAGATAGATATACTCATTTACCTGTTCTATTTTTTCTGTTTTTATTTTTATTGCCTCTTGGTCTTCCGTGTTTGACATTACTTTTGTTTTGTTGAAGTTAATTTTTAGGCCTTTTTGCAGTGATTTTTCATGAAGTTCATTCAGCATTAATTCCAGTTCTTGTCGTTCCGAGGAGATCAGGAGTATATCATCCGCATATCTAAGGTGATTTAGGTATTTTCCGTTAATACATATTCCTCTGTTTTCCCAATCTGTTGATTTAATTATGTCTTCGAGGGTCAAGGTAAACAGTTTAGGTGAAATTATATCGCCTTGTCGGACTCCTCGTTTAACTTTTATATTATCCGTTATTAATTTGTCGTCCAGAATTACGGTCATGGTTGCGTTTTGGTAAATATCATGTATCAATTGTCGGTATCTTGAATCTATTCTACTATTGACCAGAGCTTCTTCAACCGCTCAGTGTTCAATGCTGTCGAAAGCCTTTTCATAATCTTCGAATGCTAAGTACAGCGGAAGGTTGTATTTATTGGTTTTCTCAATTAAGATTTTAAACGCATGTAGATGGTCGATTGTGCTGTATCCTTTCCTGAATCCGGCCTGTTCCACTGGTTGGTAGTTATCAAGTTTATAGGTTAGTCGGTAATTTATTATTCTTGTGAAGGTTTTATATAGTTGTGACAAAAGGGAAATAGGACGGTAGTTGTTTAGGTCTGTTCGGTCTCCTTTCTTATGTATTAAGATTGTGTTGGCATTTGTCCATTGTTTAGGTATTTTACCTTCAAACAGACATTTGTTGAACAGTATTTTTAGCATTTTTTTATCGTGTCTCCTCCTTCTTTTAGCAGTTCCGCCAGTATTTTGTCCTCACCACAGATGAGACCAGACCACAGGTGAGGTGGAAAGATGACATCAGGAAACAAGGAGGTCCCACATTGCAGAGAACAGCTCAAGATAGGGAAAGATGGAGAGAACTGGGGGAGACCTACATCCAACAATGAAAGGATAAAGAATAGGTTCAAAAAACAATAGATATATATTTATATAATATAAATATTTAAAATATTTTACTTACCTGTGTTAACAATTTGGACCAACATCTGTTTTCCAGCTAGCCTGTCCTTAAAAGACAATAACATACAGTGACAACAGTTGGACGTGTCTATGCCAACTTGGAAAGAAGCAGCCGACCAACCGAATGCCAAGGTCTCATTTACGACGTAAGGTTGTTGGTTACTAAAAATAAAATTTTCCATACTAATTAATATAGCTGAATGACGATTAAAATATTGCAAAAGTTCACGAAAAAAAAATTAAGCTTGATCTTAGGGGTATTTTTTTAGGAGTTTAGGAGTAACACTGTATAAAATGTCACTATCTCCATATTAGATACTTTTGTTTGCGACCATTATTTCAATAATATTTTCATCGAATTCAACTAAAGTATTGAACAAGAACAAAATTGACATGTTACATGGTATCCGATTACTGTCAGTTTAAGGATTCCCAATCTAGATCAATGAGACAATACATAACCAGACTTTCTCTTAATTAAAGACATGTATCACATCATGTGTAGCAGATTCGGCGGTTAAGTAGACAAAACTCTTGTTTGACATAGAAAATGTGGATTTTAGTTGCATTGTGTGGTAAATTGTAACATTTTATTTATTAAATTAAATCTTGCCCAAGTACTTTTGCTTAAAATAGCATCTTCAGGGGCATTTCGTCAAATAAAAGCTATCCAGCAAGCGTAGAATATGATAAACATGAATATTAACATAAAAGTGTACAAAACACTACACTAAAACAAGGACAAACAGTTTAAAATTACTTAAAAATATTCTACGCACTACATTCGTACTAGTCAACATCATACAAAGACTTAAAATTTTTAAAATCTAATTTCATATTATGTACAGTAAATTTCATTGAAGTTTGTCTGACTAACTGCTGCCAGTTGCAGGGCGTTAAAATAGAAATTTTAACTTCTATTTTATTTCTACTTTAATTTTTTTTCTCTTCGGTCTATCAGCACATGGTCACTGTCCGCCTCAATGTGGGTATGATCCTTTAGTAGAAACTTTTGCGTGATAATGATTCATTAAATGATCCACCTATTTCATTTAAATGAGTGAATTTACAGCACCTAATTGGTTATTTACTTGACCAATTACTTATCGTCTATAATGCTTTCAATATGTTTTGTTGTTGACTAATTAAATCCAAGTATGTGATTCATCCAGTATTTGGTTCGAAAAATATTTTGAAGGTTGGACATCTAAAATTACTGCTTTTTGTGGTTAGTCGATAACGAACCTATCTTTAAAATGTATAAACTAGGTAAAAAAGGAAAATTGAAAAAGTTGTTTTATGATTTGTACCTACATTAATTGAAATATGTGTACTGTTTGGTTGTATTTTCTAATATAATGTGAGTTTCGTTAATAATAATTTCCAGTATGTTGTATATAATTTTGTTTTTTATTAATTTCATTATAGATATTTATATACCAGAAATTTATTTTAGTAGTTATACATAGTTTGTAGTTTGTTTTTCTTAGAAATTTCGAATCCTAATAGCTATTTTTGTTTAATAGAAAAATTGTTAATGTTAGTAAAGTATAACCATTTGCTAGGATAGTTATATGGCAACTCTATTTTATTGGATTATTTTTATTATAAAAATTTTGATTACTTATTGCAGTCACACTATTATCCTAATACGCTGATTAGCTTAAGTCAGTAACTTCCTACTGTCCCAATCAGCTTAAGATGGAATTCCTAATACGGCGATCGGGTAATTACCTTATATGGTCACGAGTAGTTCGTTGATGACAGATAAACACGGCGGAAGGGAGTAATGATAATTTAGTGTATTTAATTCTAACCATTGTGAACTGTTAAACTGACATTGTTTTGATTTAATTTAATAAAAATAGCTATTTTGCGTAAATACGTGTTTATCTATTTTTATAGACGATATTATTTTCATTAACTGAAACAACAAATCGTGAAGATATTGTTGAAAATCGAACTGATATTCTACTGAGGCTGGTACAAGGATTTAAGGAATTATTAAACGAAAGGGCACAAACACCACTACAACAGCGGCAGCAGCAGGTAGAACAGGAAGGTCAACAACAGGAGCTGTGGGAAGATGGAGAAGATAATGAATTGGCTAGACCTCCAACGCTAGAGGAGGTTCGAACAGCAATCCAAAGGCAAAAAAGCCATAAAGCGCCGGGAATAGATAAGATACCAGCAGAACTGTTCAAGCAGGGAGGAACAAATTTGACAGAACAGATGTACCAGCTTATACAAGAAATATGGAGAGAAGAAAAAATCCCACAACAATGGAAGAAAAGTATAATCTGCCCTATTCATAAAAAAGGAGACAAACTGTTATGCCAGAATTATAGAGGCATCTCTTTACTTTGTTCGGGATACAAAATACTCACAAACATTCTTAATCGAAGACTTCAACCCCTCACTGAAAAAATTATCGGGGAATATCAAGCAGGGTTCAGACAAAATAGATCTACTATTGACCAACTATTTACAGTTAAACAAATACTAGCCAAAGCATGGGAATATGACATAGACGTCTACAATCTCTTTGTAGATTTCAAGCAAGCCTATGATTCAATAGATAGAACAATACTACCTAATATATTACAAGAATTTGGCATACCATCAAAATTAATAAGACTAGTGCAAATGACAATGACAGAAACAGAAGCACATGTATGTATTCAAGGACAGATCACTGATGCGTTTATGACAACGCAAGGACTGAAACAAGGTGACGGACTGGCTCCAACACTTTTTAATCTTGTTCTTGAATATGTAATTAGACGGTTGACGGTGAGCAGAAATAACATACTTACAAACAAATCTACCCAATTAGCAGCATACGCAGATGACATAAACATAATGAGCAGAACAAAGACTGCGGCAGAAGAAACCTACGTTCAGTTGAAACAGAGTTCAGAAGTTGTAGGGCTAACAATAAATACAAATAAAACAAAACTACTCATACAAACCAGATCAAATAGACAGGCACAACAACAACAATTTATAGACGATATAGAATACGTGAATAGATTCACGTATTTAGGAATGGATCTGGTCGAAAATAATGAAGAAGAACCGGAAATAAATAGAAGGCTTATGCTGGCAAACAAAGCCTATTTCGCGATGGGCCACATATTCAAATCGCGAGACGTACACCGGAAAACAAAACTCCGGGTATATAAAACAATAATCCGACCCATAGTAAGTTATGGGTGTGAAACATGGGTTATAACACAGAAATCTACCAATGCATTAGACGTGTTCGAAAGAAAAATATTGCGTAGAATACTGGGTCCACTAAAGGAAAATAACAACTGGCGAATTAGATATAATAACGAAATATACGAACAATACACTGAACCAACACTAGCACAATACACTAAACTACAGAGATTACGATGGGCAGGGCATGTGGCCCGCATGCATGAGAACAGAATCCCCAGAAAATTACTAAACGCAAGAATGCAAGGAAAAAGACCTGTTGGAAGACCAAAAAAGAGATGGGAAGACGAGGTAGATGAAGATGCCAAAAATCTCCTAAAAACGCGTTCATGGAAAAGAACAGCATTAAATAGAGATGTTTGGAGAGGTTTAATGAAGGAGGCCAAGGCCCGGCTTGGGCTGTAGTGCCATTGGATGGATGGTACAAGGATTGAATAAACTTCTGGGTGATGATTTTTACTTGAGAAATCTTATTAAGTATCCAAACGAAACACATAATAATGCTAACATTTTTATTCTGGCCCACCGACCATAGTACCTATGATTTCTTCTATCTCACTGCCAGGAATGACAGTATCTGCCCACTTCAGAAATGGAGGTCCGATTTCATTTTCACCACGAGTAGTTCATCATTAATTTTGTCTATATCAGCCGCATCTTCTTCATCAAAACTCAAGGCATCTCTAATAATATGCTCTTCAAATAAAACATTATTGCTTGGTGTATTATTTGATTCTGAAATAAAACTAGACTTATAATATTGATCGTAGAATATTTTTTATAGTATATCTAGTATGCTCTAGTATTCTGAAGCTATTTTCTTGTGGCATTTTAAACTAATTAATATTTAAATCAGACAATAGATAACGGTCCAAACCTTCAAGTCAATGTACAGGACAAAAAAGAAAAGGCCCCCAGTCCCCAGCACTTCCCAGAGTCTTGATCACGGCAGCGATCAAACAACTAACGGAAGGGGGGGAGGGTGAATCCCTGGATAAGACCCGGCTGCCACAAGATGACAATTTGGCTATGCTCCTACAATATTCGAACACTGACGGACGACAATAGATTCCCAGAAATAGAAAGAGAACTAAAGGATATAAAATGGGATATCCTTGGTATATGCGAGACCAGAAGAAAAAGTGATGAGTATATAATACCAAAAAATGGCACACATTTTATGCATAAAGGTGGCGAATACACGGGACTGGGATTCTTGGTAAAACAAAGCCTCACACAGTGTATCGAAGAATTCAAGCCCATATCAGACAGAGTAGCATATCTCATCATCAGGATTATTAAAAAGAACCACTCTGAAAGTGATCCAACTGTACGCTCCGACCAAAAGCCACGACGATGAAGAAGTACAAATATTTTATGTTGAAATAAGAACAGCTATAGAAACAAATAAAGCAAATTACGAAATACTATTAGGAGATTTTAATGCTAAATTGAGCAAAAAAGAGGAAGATTATGAACATTTAATTGGTAACTATGGCTACGGGAAAAGAAACGATAGAGGAGAAATGCTTCTCAATTTTATGAAGGAACATAACATGTACTCAATGAACTCCTTTTTCAATAAAAAACCAAGCAGAAAATGGACATGGATGAGCCCCGATATAAAGACAAAGAATGAAATAGATTATATCTTAACGAAGAACAGAAACCTATTAAATCAGTTTGACCTAGAAAGCGATCATAGACTAATAAGAACAAAACTAATAATTAACAAAAAACTAGAAAGAAAAAGAATACATGAAAAAAGATACAAATGGACATCTGAAGAAATCAAAAATAGTGAATTTAATAAAAAGATAACGCATGCATTAAATCAAGTTAGCATGCAGCAGATAAACTCCAACGATATTGATGATTTGAATAACCTTATTACCGAAACAGTGAATAAAAGCCTTCTCCAACGGAAAAAAACAAAAACAACATACAGTAAATTAGACAAAGAAATATTACAACAAATAAAAAGAAGGAAGATCTTAAATAAATCTAACAAAAGGAGAACCGACGAATATAGAGAACTTAATAGGCAGATTAGAACAGGAATCAGACAACAAAAAAGAAAAGAAAACGAAAAATGAATAACAACAACTATTGAAAAAAATAAGATTATGAAATGCCTCAGACTGACACTAGGACGACGCCAGATGATATCATTAATGGGAAAAGACGAAAATGAAATCACAACTAGAGAAAACATAATATGACACGAATAGAAGAATTTTACACAGAACTTTACAGAACACATCAACAAGATGATGAGATGAGACCAGCACGGAAATTAATACAAAATGTTGGATCAGAAATAATGACAAAAGTAACAATTTCAGAGGTAAATACAGCATTGGAAAACATGAAGAGAAATAAAGCTGCAGGAGTGGATAGTATTATCACAGGTATGATATTAGAAGGAGGTAAGGAACTAATTGCAATTGTAACTAAGCTTGTGGACAGTTGTTTACATAAGGGCAAAGTCCCTAAGAGCTGGAACAACTCTAAAGTAATCTTATTACACAAGAAAGGTTATAGTCGAAAATTGGAAAACTACAGACCGATCAGCCTACTGTCACACCAAAGTCAAAACTACTTGACTAACAAGGAAATTGGACGAATACCAACCATATGAACAGGCAGGTTTTAGAAAAGGCTATTCAACTTTCGATCACCTGTTAACCACAAAAATATTAATAGAAAAATGTAACGAATACAAGTTTCCAGTTGTCCTAGCATTTGTAGACTACGAAAAAGCTTTCGATACCATAGAACACACGACCGTAATAAACGCAATGCAAAATTGTAGAATAGATAGCAGATATATTAACTTAATAAAAGAAACTATGAACCAAGCTACAGCTACATACTACCTAAATGAAAATGAACACACGAACCCTGTACCATTAAACAGGGGAGTCAAACAGGGAGATATTTTATCACCCAAACTGTTCACCTTAGTTTTGGAGGACGTTTTTAAAAACCTAAATTGGAAATATAAGGGAATAAACATCAATGGCCGCTACCTCAGTAATATACGATTTGCAAATGACATAATCCTGATAGCTACTGACCTACAAGAAATGCAAACCATGCTTTTAGAACTACATACCGAATCTTCTAAAATAGGACTGAAAATGAATTTAAACAAAACAAAAGTCATGCACTCCGAAGACACCGTGACAATAGAAAAAAGATATAGAAAAAGTTGAAGAATATATATACTTAGGACAAAAATAATACTAAATAGGGAAATTCAAACTGAAGAAATAAAAAAAGCAGAAAGTTAGCTTAGCAGCATTCGGTAAACTGAACAATATACTCCAAAATCACCAAATTCAATTACATCTTAGATCTAAAGTTTTTGATGCATGCATTATTCTGATAATAACTTATGCGGCACAAACATGGACAATCACAAAAAAGAATATAAATATACTTAGAGTCACTCAACACGCGATAGAAAGAGAAATGCTAGGTATATCACTTAAGGAGAAGAAAACAAACACATGGATAAGACAGAAAACCAAAGTCACCGATGTGGTGCAAAAATCATTAAAGTTGAAATGGGAATACGCTGGACATGTAGCTAGGAGCGATCTAAACAAATGGCACAGATCAATTTTAACCTGGAGACCATACCAACACAAAAGACCCAGAGGCAGACCTCTTATGAGATGGACAGATGATTTGAAAAGGACTGCCGGGAAAAATTGGCTACAAGTACGTACAATAAAAAACAATGCAAAGGAAGACTTGAAGAGGCTTATGTTCAGATGTGGACGTGAATGGCTAGACGTAGAAGAAGAAGAAGACTATTTAAATCGAAATAAGCCACAATTAAAGGTTAAAGTACGTTTATTGACGTTTTAATTTCCACTTCGGTATAAGGTTATTATCAAATCACTACATTAACTTTTTGAGGTTATATTTTTTAATAATTTAAAAATAATGAACAAAAAACGTAGCTTATCTGTAGACACTATAGAAGAATTCGCAGAACTCTTCAGTAGTTCAAGAATCTTTCTTTAAACCACGAGAATTATGGTAAGTCATTCGTATTATTAGTGACAAACAACTGTAAAAATACGATAAAGGGCAAACGTACTATTATTAAATCATTAAAGAGATTTGCAACACTTGAGAAAATTTACTTGATATTATTTTAAGGGTTACTATTTCAACTAGCAAATGGTTTATGACCTACTACTCTATTCTTTTAAATGAAGTAATAAAAGTTGATTATTTTTGTGTAAAAATCTCAAAATTAAAAAAAAGAATATAGTTTATCCACTCGAGGTACAGTTACTCTATACAGCAAGGTTAATTCAAGTTCTGACATTTGATGATATTTACTTGCATGTGTAGGCAACTCCTCGTTCTCTACATCCTGAATGACCATTATCTTCCGTAGTGCTGTTCGTAACACCATCGATTTGGCAGGTCTGATCAGGAATGCCGTTCTTAGTTTTAACATAGGGGTACCACGAGCATGAGGGAGCACAACAATCCCAGTATGTGGTGGTGATGCCCTCTCCACTTAAACCGTCAGGGAGGGGCACGATGTCAGGAGAGCGACCAAAAGAGCCAGAAAGGACTGAAATAAAATTAAAGATGGTAAAAGAAGAAAACAGTAGTTCTACAGATAATAATTTCTTTAACATAAAAGGCAGATATCGAGCACAGCTCTTTTATTAAATCTTGCCCAAGTACTTTGCCCAGAGCTACAGAGCAGCAGACAGAATGACTCCTGCTTTTGCCCAAAACGTAGCAACCTGAACAATTATTGTAAACTAATTGTTATTTTGTCTTTGTTATTTGTATAAGTGTTATTAAATATTTATGACATTTCTAAATTTGCTGGATAGCCAAATTTTTTGACAAAATATGCTCCTGAAGATTCTCTGAGAGCGAACGTACTTGGACAACATTTAATAAATAATATTAATAACTGCGACACAGACGTGCCAGAAGTACTTTGTCCCAAGAAAATCAAATAAACCGTAGTACCAAAGTTTTAATACATATAAGCTGTCTGTGCAAGTTTCTGATTTGAAAGACATGCCATGCTTCTTTTTTTTTCTTTCCGAAAATTGCTTCTTAAATTGTTAATTTTATACATTTACTGACTTTTTGTGACATCGGGCTCCACTTCTTTTAATCTGACCACAAGCCTTCCATACGCTACCTCTCTTTTTTCTATATCGTGGTATTCTTTATTTTTAACCTGCCACAGACAGGGTTCAGATCTGTAGATATCAATAAATTCTTGAATAATTTCATTTTGTTTTCGATTTAATATGATCACACATATACAGTACATTCAACCAACTAACACCTCTAAACGATTAATGGAATTCGCAAAAGGCCTTTTTAAGTAGTAAAGGGCACGGTAAACTGTAAGGGACTGAGATGTAGTGCATAAAAGTTCTTCCCCCTTAAATTTAATGTTTGTTTCGTCCCTTCTAAGTGTTTTCTGTTTTAGTGTGTTTAAATTGTCCTTAATGGTTTTAACTTTAATACTTTAATATTTTATATACTCGACTTTGCAATAATCTACCATTTTGCCAATAGAACTTTATCAAAGAAATTTGATAATTACAAGTTGAAAGAATTGCACACCCACACAATTTGTACATCTAATCTTATTCATTTTCATAAAACTGTTACCTTCATAAAACAAATACTCAATAAATAACACACATTTCATAAATATATCTCTTGAATAAGTATAAATACCTTTTAAATAATACAATGGTATATAACATCACTTTCATCTAACAAACAATCACATTACACCTATCTCTACTTCATTGGATCAAATCTATCTCCTCAAGAACTTCCCGTTTATTGACAAACAACTACAATAGCAGACTTAAGTTCTTCATTCAACAATACATGATATTTTCAACCATGTTCTACCATCCATCAATTAACAGAGTACCAGCATGTAAGTAATGTTTTATTTATTTGCTCATTTATTAATTTATTACAATCTAATAGACTATTTTATAACAATTTGTGGATCTTACTTTGTCTGTTAAAAATTTTTTATACCTTTTTATTCCTTTTTATTCATTTGGAAAAACCACAGACATGTAATATTGGCATAATTATTGTAAGTGATAACATCTAGTTTGTTTATCTTTATTAGACAACACCCTAATATGGGTTTTTTATTATTTCAGCATTTATTTAACTTTGTATCGAGACCTGAAGATGCTTTGCATATTCTAGAAAGCGAAACCGGTAGTCTGAATAGTTAAATTAAATTGATTGTGAGTAAGTCTTATTTATTATTTCTTTACCTATTTGAAATGGACTCACACAAGCAACACATTCATGATTTAAAATTTTATTTGAATTTTTGCTTCTCATTTCATGCAAATTAACTCTAACTGATAATACAGGTAAACATATTCTAAACAAAGTAAGTAATTAAAAATATTATGGGTACTCCAGTGCAGTTTACCGTGCCTTTTACTACAACGTAAGGTTTTCTGCGAATTCTATTACTTATTTAAAGGTGTAAGTTGGTTAAATGTACTGTATGTGTCACCAATTAGCAATTGTGTGCAAAACGTAATATGAAAGTTACTAAATAAACTGACTGACGCGACAAGCAAGTTAAGACCTGCTCAGGCAAACCGTTGAGATACACAAACGTTCCGGTCAACAGGACTGTGCATGTAGAAAATACTGAATTTCGGTTCTCCTCCGATTGCCTGCACAGGTCGCCTGCAGCGACTAGTATACACGATTCACAGTAGATGACCGCACTGTTAAAAACATTTGTTTCTGGAATAATAATAGTGTTTTTTTTGAGTTACTAATAAACTTGTCACTAGTTGAAAAAACTGCATTTAACTGTATTCTTACCATATCCCAAAAAGGCAACAGCAACTAAAACTTTCATCTTGAGTTTTGATTATGATACTCGAAGATCAGATTGTAAATGCTCTTATATACACATTTTTATCCAAAATACTAAGATTGTTGATTGACAACAATTGGCAAGATAAAAATTATGACCTAATTTTAGTACTTATATTTGACTACTTAACTACTTAAGTACTTTTAAGAGGTTAGATGTGTAAAATTAAAGATAGAGCAAAGTTGAAATGCTCAAATATCACTTTTGTACAGTTACTCAGTAATCTGTAAATTGTGTTAAGTATTTTAGATTTATTTTAGTTTAAGCACTTAAAAAAAGAAATGCAAGACATTTGGACTAGATTACTACATGATATCACTAGTGAGATGTTAGTAGCATTAAGAGAAACAAGTACAAGTTCCTTGACCGGCTTGTTTAATATAATTAAAGAAATTGAACGAGAGACAGTTTTTTTATACCTACAAAAACAAGGGAGATATACAACAATTTACAAACTGCAGGGCCATAAAGCATGCCGGTATAAATAATATACGCCGGCAATATATGCAATATATGCCGGCTTATACCTGCCGGTATAAGCAATCCCCCACTTATAACCAACGGCTGCAGGCGGATGGGTTAATAAGTGAAAAGGCATTTTTTTATCCAAGGGTTGGGAAACTGGTCCTAGAGGCGGATGAATCAAAAAATAGGTCAACGGCGTAAGGATGCAAAAGGCAACGGGGAACCACTGCATTAAAAAAGAGTAACCCTCACAAATTAACCCCTTAGTTTGTAATCTCACATTATTCTTAACTTCCTAATCTTTTATAGTTTCACCGTGTATAAGTTTGCATTATATATTGCAAAATCATATTGTATGATAATTTAATAATTAGTTCATTTACCTACAACTAAATAAATTGCCGAATAATAATATTTTCTAATTGAACTTCCTAAGTGTCGCAATTAAGGCCTAGATTAAATTGTATTATAAGCAAAAGTTAGGTGGTGTGATATGAACGAAGCAATGACCTAAGGTGCTTATGTATCTATTATGTGTGAGATTATAAATTGGGGGATTTGAGTTCAAATGAACACAGTCAATATTGAGTAGTTACCGAACGAACACCATATTGTGTAATTACGAGTTGCTGTCAATAAATCATCACTGTTACTCCACAACTTTAATATTTATTAACCCTATCAACATCGATCGACGAGAAGCGGACAAAGGGGCATTACGAACCGAAACGAACTTCACTAATAAGTTCGATATTTTCCACCTAGTAAAATCAATGACAAATGACCAGTAGAGTAAACAAACTTACTGATTATGGAGTACGGAATCCAAGATCCGGTGTAGATCACAGAGCCTCCCAGGTCGTAAACCAACTCGTGTGTAGGTGGTCGGTTGTGCTGTACCCCTTTCTAAATCCTGCCTGTTCAACTGGTTGGTATGCATCAAATTTGTTGTTTAGTCTCGTTGTGATTACCTTAGTGAAAGTTTTATAGGTTTGTGGCAAGAGAGATATTGGTCTATAGTTAGCTAATTTCCTTTCTTACATATCAAAATTGTATTTGCCTTGTTTCACTCTTGCGGTATTTGTCCTTCAAACAAACATTTTTTGAAAAGTATCTTTAGGTAGTCTTTTATCTTTTCCCCTCCTTCTTTTAACATTTCAATTAGAATTTCATCGTCTCCCGGAGCCTTATTTCTTTTCATATCTCTAATTGCTTTTTCTATTTCTTCTTCGGTTATGGGGGGTAATATTTCATAGTTTACATTCATTATTTTCTTTTTTAGGTTTTGTTGAGTTGTATCAGGTGGACTGTTTTAGAGCTATAGAGGCCATTATAATAGTCCCTTATCTTATATATTTGGGTTCTGCTTTTTTCTATTACACCTTGTTTATTTTCCATCTCTATGATTTTATTTCTTCCTAGGTGGGACTTGATAGATCTTAAGTTTTCGACCATACCTCCTTTAATTTTCATGCTATCACAATTTATAAAAATCCATTGTAAAGATAATTAAGAGAGCTACAACATACTTTATTGCAATATATAGTGAAAAACCTTTTTCTAAAACGGTAAATGATTAAAGGGCTTAAGAGATGCTGTGATTGTACTACCACGCGCTCTTTAAACAATCATATCTCCGTCAATTTTTGTTTGACAGAAAACTTAAAAAAACCAAATTGTTTGTCAGAAAAAAACTTAAATTTTTTATTATTACACTTTTATACGTATCTGTCGTCGTTTTTGAGATATTATGAATAAAAGGTGGTTTTTTTAAAAATTTTAAATTTTTTTTAATTGTAACTTTTTTGAAAAATATGTGTCTCGAAGTAGCTAAACTAATACAATCTATCAAACTCTTCATAATAAAGTTAATTCTAGGCGGAATACGATTAATTTTAATTTTGGTGGAAATGGCACTTGATCAATGAACAATGAATCAATGAAACCAACCCATTGATTTAAAAGTAAAAACATTACATGCTCCTCTTATTTTAAATACAGCTCACTTATTTTACGTGTAAAAGACTTTTAATATTGCTCATTTTAAAGCTTATTTCAAGCACTACAAAACCCTTTTTTATTAGAATGCTTAAAATGCATCTGCTCGCCGCTAGATGGCATTGGCCACATCGATTAAATTTCAGACAAAATAAAAACGGCTTTATCTTTAATATCTAGCTTAATATTGCACTTTGAATACTTTATAAAAAAACAAATTCATTTTTTTACCTGCTACAATTTTGTTTTTTATAAAATTTTCGATAAAACGTATTTTTTTGCAGATATTTTCAAAAAACCGATGAAAACTTGAAATAATTGTGAATTTTCAATTGACAATAACATGAAAAGTATTGGATTTTTCGAAAAACTTTATGGATGATTTTTTGCTTAAAATTAGGCCTTTTATCGATATCCGAGATTATTTTGAAAAAAAATTCACCCCCGAGAAGGGGTGGCCCCTTTCACCCCCAGGGTGGTTGCAGAGTTCAAATCATTTTTACTTTTAAAGTTAAGGGTAAGATGAACCTAATTACAAAATTGTATGTAATTCGGTTCACAGTAAAAAAAATCGGAGCAATAATGCTTTAATGACTGCACTATATTTAGATGTAAATCTATTAGTGTAAAGTACATACCTACATAATATAAGTAAATACTGATAGATAGATAATGATAAATAGGTAATGAGATTTATACATATATTTTGTGTAAATCAAATTTTTAAATATAACTGATTTAGTTTATTTATAAAGGATATTGCTGAAACTTTTCTTATCAATTAATCTACCTCGTTTTGTGAAACATTGCTGCAGTCATTTATTTACACAAAAACATGTATTTTCTCAATTTTTCTTTGTACCTCTTGTTGTTTTTCTGTATCTAACTATTAATTTATGCTTGCGACATTTGTCTCCCAGTTTAACCAGACAGATCGTTTAATAAAACTGCCTGCAAGTTTTGTGCACAAGACCAGGAGTTGTCCCTTCATGCAATATGATGAATCAGTTCGAATGTTCACGTAGTAGTAGAGGTGGTGTAAATAAAGAAGCTAATTCTTAATAACAGATATATACTAACCGTTTCGTAAAGGTGTTCGTATATGGATGAGAATCGGACAACCTTAAGAAAATGTGAAGGAGTGAAGTTATGTAATTGTTTACGTTGTGCCCTTTTGTTAGCTGTATAAAAACTATTTATCATTTGTAATAAATATTTCCTTTTGTTTAAATATTAGCAGTTTTTATGACATGGTTTACAGTTCCAAACATGCTTTGTCATAAGTAATTAATCAATCCTTAACCCTGGGGATTTTATGTTTGACCAGCAAGCGAGAAAGACGTGTTTTAGGCACTAATTTATCGTGCTCGTTAAATAGTAATTATTGAAGTATATTTAAAAATATAAAAGTGAAAGTGATTTGTATACTGAATATTGGATTCGAGAGTAGATAAAATATACTTTTTTCATCTATTTGGATTTATATATTTAAGTAAACAACTGCAGCTGGTTATAAGTATTATCCAATTTCCATGAACTGGTATCACAACGAAAGCTGTGAAACAGCACTGGTTTTAGTCGGATTTTAAATCCATTTAAAAGATGTCATTTTCCAGTCAACTACCACAAAATGCATCATACTCAAAATGACTAGCTTGAAGGATTGAGTCAGCATATAGAACCGAAAAATATAATTTTCGCATCCCGTATATCAAACGGTAGAATTTGTATATATCCATCATCCAAAAACCTAGTAGATAAGTTCATAGCAGAAACAAAGAAGATAACAGTAAATGGAAATATACTAGAAGCGAGAAGATTAATAACTCCATCAGTCTGCTTAATTCTGTCCAATGCATGCCCAAGCATACCTTCCAACTTAATAATGGACAAATTAATAAAACTAGGTTTAAATCCCCTCTCAGACATATCATACCTACGGATAGGAGCAACCAATCCTGCCTTTAGTCATATTCTAAGCTTCCGAAGACAAATTTTCGTTTAACCTTTTCCAGACAACTTTGTACTAACTGAATCTTTTATTATCGAGTTGGAACAAACATCATACCGCATATTTATAGCCCAAAACGAAAATTGTTTCAAATGAAAATTAACTGGACACCAGGCAGCTAATTGTCCAAATATTTCATTTTCTAACCATCCTCACAATGATATTGCAATGCAAACAGAAATGAGACAAAATTCATCAATAAATCGTATTCAACAAGATAATTCACAAAATACTCCCGCAATCTCAAATACCACTCCCTCCACACTTACTACATCTTCTCAAATCACATTACAAACAGTAACAATCCCAAATTTATCAATAAACCAAACCCAACAGTGCTCACTACAAAATACATCTATACATTTGACCACTTCTTCAGTTAACACTACAATCGCAACACCTACATCGTCTGAGTCATCCTCTAATACCCAAAAACATAAATCAACCTTACCCGAAACAAGTCAACACTTACCTCCAAATAAAAATACACATTTGAATTCTCACGAACCCCAAATAACTT